TGGACTCCTTGGTAGGCTGGGGGCTGGACTCTGCAACTGGGTGAGGGCTGGGCTCCTTGGCAGGCTGGGGGATGGACTCCTCAGCAGGCAGAGAGCTAGGTTCCCCAGCTGGGATTGCACTGGACTGATTGGTAGGCTGGGGGCTGGACTCTACAACTGGGTGAGGGCTGGGCTCATTGTCAGGCAGGGGGCTAGACTCCTCAGCAGGCAGAGAGCTAGGTTCCCCAGCTGGGATAACATTGGATTCCTTGGTAGGCTGGGGGCTGGACTCCTCAGCATGCAGAGAGCTAGATCCCCCAGTTGGGATTGCACTGGACTCCTTGGTAGGCTGGGGGCTGGACTCTGCAACTGGGTGAAGGCTGTGTTCCTGGTCAAGATGGGGGCTGGACTCCTCAGCAGGCAGAGAGCTAGATACCCCAGCTGGGAGAGAATTGGATTCTTTGGCAGTCTGGGGGCTGGACTCAGACAGCTTCATCCCATCAACCTCAGTGGGCAGAGTGCTAAACTTCCCGGCAGGCAGAGCACCAGACTCTGCAACTGGGTGAGGACTGGGCTCCTTGGTGGGCTGAGCACATGACTTCTCAGCAGGCTGAGAGCTAGATTCTCCAGCTGGGACAGCGCTGGACTCCTTGGCAGGCTGGGGGCTGGACTTCGCAACTGGGTGAGGGCTGGGCTCCATGGTGGGATGAGCACATGACTTCTCAGCAGGCTGAGAGCTAGATTCTCCAGCTGGGACAGCGCTGGACTCCTTGGCAGGCTGGGGGCTGGACTTCGCAACTGGGTGAGGGCTGGGCTCCATGGTGGGATGAGCACATGACTTCTCAGCAAGCAGAGAGCTAGATTTCCCAGCTGGGATAGTGCTGGACTCCTTGACAGGCTGCGAACTGGACTCCTCAGCAGGCAGAGGGCTAGACTCTGCAGACAAATTATTCACATCAATACCTACAGAAAACTGGTGCAAGACATGTCAGCTAAGATGAATCTAGCTTTCCTCATGGTAAAGTATCATCAGAAAATATTACCCTTTTGGATAACTAGCCCAGATACATTCTTCAAAGACAGCAGAACAGCCAAGTTGCACTTTGCTACCACTGGCGGGTTTGGATTTTGGCTTGGATAAGGACAGGACAAGGGGCCATCTGGAAAACAAGAGGCAAGAACTGGAGTACAACAATACACATCACAACTTCAAAAGAAATAATTTTGGAACTTACAAAAAAAAAAACAAGAGAAACAGTTTAACTAAGACCTGATAAACTTAAAAGTATGCTTCATTGAAGTGTTAAATGTGGAGCTACACCAGGGGTGGACCTGTATAGTTTTGGACTTTGCCCTCCCACTACACAGGGCACAGAGATCAGAACAGTATTCATAATTTGAATAGCTAAAACTACTGTAAGACTTACAGTCCCGGATTACATGAATTTAAAAAAAGTTTTACATTTTATTTTTAAGTGCCCCATTTAAAATCCGATAATCTCAGATGAGACCTGGGTTTAACATTTGAGGCACAAACATATCTAATGCTAAATTTAGATCTGAACTGTATTTCGGGTGAATCACACACACTGCTGTATTTCTGTATTGTTATATTGTGACTATATGGTTTCACTAATAATACAGGAAGTCAGTATGCCCCATTAAATCAACGACATCATGTGAAAAAAAAGAATGCCATCATGACCACACAAATTTAAAAACCTTTCTTCTCCAAGCGCACTTGCTCACTACCAGCCTGGTATAAAGGATACCCAATTGGAGAAGCAAATCCTGAAGACAAAATACAAGGTTAAAGAAAGACACACAAAAAAAACCCCACATATTTAAAACACTACATCAAGGTGGGAACAACTTCACCATTGAGCACCAATTGGTGACACAAAAACACCAAAAACATAAGATTTGAAACAGCCATCTTGAGAAAAGTTTGAACAATCAACAATCTATCACTGCTTTCTAAAACAAGTGTTGAGTCAGGGGTTTTAAAGTAACACAGATTTTCATCACCTGGGTTCCTCGTTAAAGGGAAATTAGTAAGAGCGGACCCACTCGTTAACATTCTCCTGCAGACATTGGTTGGTTGAGAAATTACTATTGTGATTCGGTGATCAGGCCTACCACCGTTGTGTCATCCGCGAATTTGATGATGACAGTTTCTGATTCGGGTAGGTTCTGATTGTTTTGGTCGGTACAACGTCTTCTATGCACTTCCTTATGAAGCACGTGACGGTGTCTGTGTAAACATTGATGTCGTCATCGGATGCAGCCCGGAACATATACCAGTCGACGTAATCAAAACAGTCCTGTAACATAGAATCCGATTGGTCCGACCAAGCTGAATCGTCCTGAGGGCGGGTGTTTCCTGTTTCAAATTCTGCCTGTAAGCAGACAGGAGCAGAACGGAAGAGTGATCTGATTTGCCTAGAGGTGGGCGGGGATGGACTTCCAGAAGGGGGAGTAACAGTGGTCCAGAATCCGATCTCCACGTGTGTTGCACTATATGTGCTGGAAGAATTTTGGTGCAATCCTCCTAAGATCGGCTTTGTTGAAATCCCCGGTTATAATAAACGCAGTGTCAGGGTACACGGTCTCCTGTTTGCATAAATGCCCATATAGTTCCTTGAGTGCTGCATCTGTGTCGGCCTGAAGGGGGATGTAAACAGCTGTAATGATGACCGCTGTGAATTCCCTCGGTAACCAAAACGGCCGGCACAGAAGCGTGAGGTATTCCAGGTCAGGAGAACAAAGAGATTGTATGTACATAGGATGTACATTCTTCCGATCGCACCATGAGTTGTTGATCATGAAGCATAGACCTCCTCCTTTGCTTTTCCCTGAGAGATCCGGTATTTTATCCGCGTGATGCACGGAGAATCCCGTGGGTTCGATGGCAAAGTCTGGTACCTCTCGAGACATCCACGTTTCTGTGAGGCAAATAATGGAGCAGTCCCTGATCTCACGCTGGAAAGAAATCCGCGCTCTCAGTTCACAGAGTTTATTGTCCAGGGACTGGACGTTAGCCAGTAGGATACTTGGTAGCAGTGGTCGGTCTGCACGGCGTCTTAATCTGACGAGGACGCCGGCTTTCTTTCCTCTCCTCCGGCTCCGTTTTCGACGTCGCGGTCAGGCGCGGACCAAACAAAGGGCTCCGCAGTGTTGTTTGTAAATAACGAGTTGGTGTTGAGGAATTTAAAGTCCGGTTTATGGGTGAGTAACTGTAGAACCAATATCCAGAAGTGTTTGTCTGTTGTAAACAATTAGGGAGACAACATCCAGAATAAGAAACATCCAAATTACATGCAAAACAAACAAAAAGCTGACAGTCTGGGTCAGAGCTTGCAACACGGCGGCCATACTCGGCGCCATCTTGTTTATTCTTCAGTTAGTATGGAATGGTAAGTTATGTAATGGTGTAAACTTTGTGCTTAAATTATAGACAAATCTTTTATATCTACAATTTTGACAAATGTACTTTTTTTTTTGTAGCACTCATCTCCCCAGTGGAATATGGCTTAGACCAGGGGTTGGGAATCTTTTTTGACCAAAGAGCAAAGTTTTTATTTTTGGTTAATGCATTTTATATATACAGTGGTGTGAAAAAGTGTTGGCCCCCTTCCTGATTTCTTATTTTTGCCTAATATTATATAAAATGCATGTTTTTTTCAATAACATTTTAATAATAGTAACTTTGTTAGGACCATGGAAACTGGCGATGAATTCGCTTCAGTGTTCTCTGTGTGTGTGAGAGAGAAAGAGACTGAGTGAGTGAAGAATAATGCAAGGTGTTGGCCTTGTAAATAGTATATTTTTTAGTCCTGTCACTTTTTTACGTACTTTTACACTTTTTCTGCTGTTCAAAAAATCGTTCTTTTCGCTATTACCACAAACAAGCTACGTAGCAGCTTGAATCTGAGTTTATTAGCTCTACGTACTCAGTTTGCTGTTGTGACTCTC